ACACACACATACACACACACTGTGAACTTCTTGGTTGCTCCTTTTCCATCATTTTGTTACGCTGCTTTAGATTTCTATCTGCTGAGTTATAAAATTTAAGATTTGATCCTGAAGCTTCCTCCTGCTCACCTCATCTGGGTCCTCACATCTAAATCCATGACATTTTATAACAGTTTCTACCATGCTGTGGAATATCAGAAAGATCAAATTACAAAATGTAAAAATTATTGCTGTTCAGAGAACCAAAGTCAAACAAACGATACTCATCATTGAATACGGGGTTTTCTTTCACAGGCCATTTCTATGAAATTGGATAAATTAAACCCACATTTTTTTAAATAGAGCAGCTCTTCTTTCTAAAAAATATGATGTTTAGTTATAAATATATACACACTTAAAAATACAATTTCAACACCAAAGTGTAAGAGAAACAAGTTCAAGTCAGGAGAGCAATTTTATTTCCTGGAAAGTATGAGAAATCTGTAAAAATGTGGGTATGAATAAATAAATTAACTATTACCTCTGGACTAACTACAAAAAAAGTGCCACTTCACTGTATGACTCTTCAGGCTATTTAAATTCCTCTTTTGTTAACTTAACCAGCAGTGAGAAAAACCATAACTTAGCTTGTTTCTGGGGGAAATGTTCCTCTACACTGGGCCTCAGCGATCGCACCGTTGCCTGACCGCTCAGGACCATGCCAGTGGTTAGTGGGTTCCAACGCTCGGCAATTATGAGGCTCCGATCCCCATGGTGTGTGTTTGGGTGTGTGTTGGGACAGAATGGAGAATGGGAAATAGAAATAATCTACCACCATAATCTATGACAAAGTGTTCATGTTTTTATTTGTGTTTGTGTGCCTGTGACGTGTATAGTTATTGGTTTAGGTCAGGGCTGTCAAATTCCTTTTCACCAAGGGCCACGTGAGCATTATGACGACCCTCAAAGGACAACTTGTAATTAACTTTAACATTTTATGTCTAACTTCAACTAAAGGTAAAATATCACGTTCCTCGTCTCATTTCTACGGCTGAGCACTGCTAACAAACAACAACTGAACTCTACGCAGTCGTTCCTGCATGGAAACTGTATGACTAAATGTGAAATATTCTGTTAAAATTAAGTTTTACTCACTGTTGAGTTGTGATGAGTCTTGACTTCTGAACTCTCCCACTTTCCTACAGGGAAATCCCATGCATAATCGCCATGCATCATGGGAGATGCAATGCATGGTCAATGCTGGCCATAAAGCAGCTTATTTTGAGACAATAATACTGGGCTATTCAACTAAATTGCTCAGGAGGCCACAGTTACTCAAAGCCACTAGCTCATGGGCCGGACAAGTATTATTATCCTTTAAATGTGTTTATTTGTTGCACTGAATCATACATTTAAAGTTCAACATTGCCATAAAAACTTGAATTTAAGCCTTGAATTTTTGTATGGATTTAAATTTAACTGTCTTTTTATAATCAATGTTTCATGTAATGAGTTTAGTAAAGAGTCTGAGTGGAAGTGGGAAACAGCTGGATGATTACAACTGACAGGTGAGTGTGGCAGGCTGGAAAAACACTAAGAAGCTGGGTGAGGTGAAAAGGGCACAGGAAACTGAAAACAGGAAATGAGAAAATAAGACAATACCAAACAATGAAAAAACAATCTGAAAACTACTAACAAAAATAACCATAACACAAGAATCATGACACTGACAATAAAGCACAATGATTATAAGTTTTTCATTGGTGCAAACCTCACATTCAGCTCACGCCATGAATGCATTTTCCCAAGAAATATGGCACTGCTGTTACAACAAAGAAATGATTGACCAGGCACAAATTTTGTATATATTTTGTGCTTTAGTTATGCAACAGTGACACGGTTGGTAGAGCAGTCATCTCCCAATGAAAAGGTCGCAGGATCACATCCCAGCCAGTTTGATGGACTTGTGGCTTGTCCAGGGTACTGTATGTCCCGCCACTTGTGACTGAAACATGGGCGCCCATGACCTGGAAACAAAAATAAATAAACACATCCATGAAAAATGTAAAGAAGTTGTGGTCCTTTTTCTAAAAGTCGACATCTATTGGACTGATATTTTTGCAGTCTGCTCAGACAGAACTTTTAAAATGCCAATATTATCTTTTTTGAAAAAAAAAAGACTTCGGTTCTAAAAGGTGCATCCCACAGATCTGATGGAGACTCATTTGTTTATTTTTAATTCAAGTTCAGGGTTGAAGGATCCTGTCTGAATTAAACATGAGGAGTTGTCATCATAAAATTAACACACAGCCATGTCTAGTTTATGCATTTACATTTATTTACCCAGGCAAACCTCATTGAGATCACAGATCTCTTTAGTAAGGGAGGCCAAGGCCTGATGGTAACCTAACATTTATGTTTTCAGTCTGTGTTGGTTCTAAGACTGCATTTGGATTTTAGGTTTGCAGTTCTGCAAGAATTTGTTTTTCTTTGTTTTATCTTTGTGGCTTTCCTGTCTTTTTACCATACTTGTCCCGGGTTTGTAATCCTCAAGTTTGTTATCCCTAAAGTCCTGGCTTTCCTTTGTGTGTTTGTCAGATTCTTGTGTTGTCATGGTCTCCTCACGGCTGGGTTTGTGTGTTTAACTGTGTCCTGTCTGTGTGCAAACACAATGATCCTTTCCATCATGTCACCTCAGGTGTTAACATTTCCTCAAGTTTTTATCTGTCTTCATTTTGTCACTCATTCTCTCAGAAATCCATCCATCCATCCATCCATCCATCCATCATCCATCCATCCATCCATCCATCCATCCATCCATCCATCCATCCATCCATCCATTCATTCCTGAGTCAGGTTTAAAATTCTTGTAGCTCTTAAATAATTGATTTTAAGCTATACATTTTACTAAATTAAGCTAATAATTATTAAATAGTTGTCAAATTATATTTGAAATATTTGCAGAGAGGCTGTCAGTCTTCAATCTGACATATTTAAAAAAACTAAATCTTGACAGCTGCTGGAGAATATGGGGAAGTAATCGAACTTAAGAATTTTTTTTAAAGTTGTAAATTAAATTTCTCTTTAACTTAGTCAACATTTGTTGTGTATGTTTTTTTCAATGCTTCATTAAAATATCTTAGTCGGGTCTCAAAAGTAATTTTAGAGCGGAAAGCTTATATTAGGATTGTGTTGCAACCAGAGGATCTGAAAACATTACATGAATGACAATAATAATAATTCTGCTTTAAACGGTGGCATGCAGAATATTCAAAAGCAAAAAAAGTCTAACTTCTATATGTTTTTGTCGTAGTCAGACTCATGCTTTCTCACAGGTTTTCTGTGTGTGTGTTACAATATGTACATGTTTGGTGGTGTTTCTGTGGAGCAGGGCTAGTTTGTTGGTGTGACTTTAATACGTTAACCCTGACCAGAGACAACAAGAGGTAAGGAACACAAAACAATCCAAAGCCATGTAATTTGTTAAATGGAGTAGTTTTATTGTGATGAAATATTTGCTTTAGACTTTCCAGCTCTTTGTCTGCAGACATATTGTAAAACCAGACACAGTTAACTCATACACATACACAACCAGAAACATGTTGCCTCTGTGGTTATTAATACTCAGCTCTTCTGGGGTTGTTGGGTAATACACACACACCTCCCTGGCTGACTCTCACCCTCCCTCTGCACGTTAAGCTCTTACTCCCTTTGTATTTATGAGAATTCACAACTCACTTAATGAATCATACTTATGATGGGAGAGGAATAAAAAATGAAATCACAGTAATGAGCAATGTTGAGCGGCTCATTTCATGTGATCTGCAAGGCCTCAAGATTGGCAATTACACTTTCTGTGGTGTGCATGTGTGTGTGTGTGTGTGTGTGTAGGAAGTGTGGGTCTGGAAAAAGAATAAGATTATGTAACTATAGATTACAGCTTGTGTTGAGAAACTGCGGCAGCCTGAGCTCTCCACAGGCTGCAGGTAATCAAAGAGGAAATCCCACTGCGGCACTGATGGTTTTGACAATACAGGCCACGACTTAGACCGGCTCAAACTGGTTATTCTTTTTATTAACGTGAAGGAAAAGAGGGTCTTATGCAGAAGAAAATGCAGCATCAGCCAACTTCAAGCTAAAAATATTCAGCTAAGTTTAGCATGAAGTAGGAAAAAATGCTTACAACAAAAATGGTACTAAACTTTACTTTCTTTCCTGCAACCACATTTTAAAAGTAGCTACAAGTAAATTTAACATGTTGCCAACAAGAAACCCAATGGATGCATATGCATTAAGGTGTGCAGAATAACTTAATGTTGCTGATTAAACCACTTTAATGTTAAACTAATCACCAGAAACAACACGTAACTTTAGTGTTTAGGCCAGAAAATCTGCAATGATCAGAACTGTTGTAGTCATTAAACTTTAAAAGAGGCAAGTGTGGGGCAGCAGAGCACAGTCACGTAGGTCCACCACCTCCAGGCCGGTGAGTGAACTCAGATCAGGAAGACTCTTTAGCTGATTTCCTTTCAAAGTAAAACCCTTTAGTCCTGGACCCAGACCTAACAAGGTATCTTTGGACATTAAGACAGAGAGAAAAAAACAGACAGATGTCTTGAAGTTACATCTACAGAAGACAAAATGGCTGAAGCTTGGGATTTAACTGAAAAAAAAAATCTAAAATTGATGTTTTTCCATTCCCATCTGATCCATAAAAAGTCTTTTAAAACTTTGTGAAATGGGCTGGAAAGCCTTTGGTGCAACCCAAGGAACCAGGTTTGTGGACAGGTTCAGCAGGAGTGTTTTCATTAGTCTTAATTTAAGCATAAATGTAAGCCTTCATAAACCTGAACTATGACCAAAACCCTCTTAGAATAACTGTTGTGTATTTCATGTTTCTTCCTGATCAGTGTCCATGTAGCACAAACAAAGCTGCTCCTTTCCGAGCAGGATCAGTCTCTCTCCACTGCTGTGCCACATCGGAGACTGGACCTGAACGCCACCTGGTGACAGAGAAAAGGAGAACTGTGATCACAGTGCAATCACACAAATATAAAATATTTTTGAGGACGAAACAATTATTCTGTATGTGTAACAAATTGCATTAACAGAAAGTGCACAAGCACATGTGAATACAGTTTATAGACATGAGCATTAAAACAGCTTTATACAGTATAGATTTAGACAATGTTAGGATATCAGGCACAACCAGCAGCAGCACATTTGATCTGCCCAGGATTCATTTTTTTTCTGCATGAAGCAAAAGAAAAAAACAACTCTAATTATTGAGAACATTATCACTCAAATGTGCTACCTTCAGCTGGGACTTGAACAGAAACACATCCTCCTGGGGACCAGAGATAGAGTTTGCTGTTGCCCGTAAACGGAGCCAGCTGCGGGCGTTGGGGGTCCCACTGAAAGCAGCATACGGCTGATGTCTGCTCCAGCACAGCCTCCAGGCTCATCTTCTGCATGTCACACAGTAGTGGCCATGTTGTCTATAGGAACAGAAATGCACATTTACATCTACTCTCAGTTTTAAAAATTGTGTTGTGAAATCTTAGCATGGCCATAAAAAAGGGTCAACAACTAAAGAGGGCAGCTGTGGCAGAGTGGTTAGGGGAGTCGTCCTGGAACCAGAAGGTCACTGTCAAGTTCTTTTATTTTTCTTCAATGCCTGCCTAAACTCAACAAGGCATTACTTCAACAGAGGACGCTGGCCAACTCCATTCATTCATRTTTTTAGTTTATTGGTTAGGCTGATGTCGGTTGTTGGGTTACAGGTTGAAGATGATGTTGAACATTATTGAGATTATATGAAATAGACTGATAACCTTAAAAAGAGAACAAAATTAGTTCATCATACCAGATGTCAAATAATAAACTTCATTATTTAAATCTTACTCTAATCATTAATCATTTAGGAGTCAGCAAAATAAACTTAAACTATCCAGTATCATTGAGAAGTTAATACATTACATAAATCATCAATCATTTCCTTAAACAAAATACTTACCTTCATGTAGAACAAGTAAAATAAAAAACAAACAAACATACCAATGGCGTCTCTGTTGGTATCTTAGCACTGAAGCAGGGTAGCAGCAAACACTTCTCACAGGTTCTGTCTCTAAACCCACACCTGAGACCAAACAAAACCTGGATACCTGATTAAAAGGCAGTTTCTCACCACCTTGAATGTATTCAAGTCACCACACCCATCCAGGTATACTACAAACACTGCCATCTAGTGCTAAACAATATTATTATGAAAATAAAGAGAAGAAAAAATACATTTGACTTAAAACCTCCCACTTGAGCTCCTGGTTACTGAACCCAAGGAGGTCACATCATTCAAGTCTTTGTTCTTCAATGGGGAGCAGGACAACCAAACGTCAAACATCACGGTAAAGAGTGGTAGCTGGAATCTTAAATGAGAGTCTTTTTGTCTTTTTCTTTTTGTCCACATTGATAGGTTTCCAGATTAGGACTTTGTAGCTTGGAAAGTTTTCATATTTACATCTCTCACAATTCCTTTTTGGTCAGTATTGACACTGATCACTCTGCCCAACTTGTACTGGTTCCTTAGTGCATTTTGGTCAGCCATCCAAACTACATCTCCCACTGCAACATTTCGCTCCTTTTTGTGCCACTTGTTTCTCACAAATAAATTATGACCAGCTAACTGGCTCCACTTCTTCCAGAATTTGTTCACTTCGCTTTGGATATTTTGAAGTTGCTTATATGGATAGCTTTCAAATTGGAAATCTCCTGGATCACCAATTGGACTTGCCCGACCTAACAGGAGAGTGTTAGGGCTGATGTTCTCTACACAGTCCTCCCGACTCTGTGTTCTGGCATCAACAGGCCTCTCATTAACCAGGTTTGCAGCCATGAAGAGAAATGTTTGAAATTCATTTCATGTGAAGATCCCATCACCACCAAGGTTGGTTAAAGCACGCTTTACCAGTCGGACTGCAGCTTCTGCAGCTCCATTTCTGTGGGGACAGTCTGCAGGGTGAAACTTCCAAGACCACTGTGTTCCACATCTGGATGACTCTTCTGCAATTTTGAATTTGTCTAACCTGTCTAGAAAGTTGTGGAGCTCCTCAAGTGCAGGCTTAGCACCTATGAAGTTTGTACCAGGATTAGACCACAGTTTTCTGGGGTAACCTCAAAGGGAAGCAAATCTCTGGTAGCCAAGGAGAAATCCCTCAGAAGAAAGATCAGCAGCCACATCTGTATGGCCCTGGAAGCCATGCAGCAAAACACAATGCCCCAAACTTTTAGCTTGACTCTTTTCCTTATGCCCCCTTTCCTCAAATAATGGCCCCCTGACCCCCCATATTCCGGCGCCAACAGATCTACAGTGGTAAATTCAAAGGGATTGGCTGGGTTTGTTCTTTCAGATGGAAGGTCACTCATGATTTTGTTGACATTGTCTTGCTGCAGCTTTTTTGCAGACTACACAGCTGTCAACTAATTTCTTTGCAAGCCTTCAGCCCTTTATTACCAGGCCTTTCTTCTCATCATAAGAAGGGTTCCTGCTTCATGGTTAGCTTGGTGTACTTCTCGTGCCACATGTGTTGACACCCATGCTTCATATGGTAATATAGGCTCAGCTGTTTTGCTTTCAGCAAACATTTGGATCCTGCCACCACAGAGTAAGAGTCCAGAGTACTCATCTTTGTGCACCACCAGTCTGTTTAAAGTGGTTTCTGGGAACGTTACACCTCCTGTGTGGCAGCAAATAGATCTCCAAGTGCATCTTCATGTTCCAGCACTGTTAGGACAGTTTTCTTGACTTTTTTCTGGTTCTTTATCTTTCTGTTTTATTTCAGGCCACTTTTTACTGCTCGCTGAACCCAGGCAGTAACATTGAACAGTCTGGACAGGGTACTGAATTTCTCCATCTTTACAAAATTTTTGATTCTGTGACAGGCAATTACCCTCTTTGCAGCAGTGGGTGAACTCACTTTAGTATCCCTCAAAGTTGACTTTATTTGCACAGTGTCACCTGCTTTCTGTTTTGCTTGTGTTCTGGTTACAGCTGATGTGAAGGCTTTTTTCTGGAGTTTATTTACATTTTCTCTAATCTTAGCAGCAATATCTCCAGCTGATTTTTTTGGGCCACTCCTCCTCTGGCCACCTCAAGAACTCTGGTCCATTTTGCCATATTGCGTTCTCTTTAAGTTCTTTGGGTGAGCTTCCCTTTGTTGCAATGCCAGCAATGTTGGGCTCTCCAGGTATCCACCACCAGTCCTCTACTGGCCCATTTCTTTGGATTTCGCCAACACGATTTTCAAAAAAGTTTTGGTAACCACAGCTGACTCTTTGGATGGCTCCGAGGACTGTTTGACCGTCCACTAGATGAATCCATTGCTCTACTTCCATTCTACCATGTTTTCCAAAAATATTTTCTGAGTCTGGATGCAAAGACAGCGCCACACATTTCAGCCTTGACTATGTCTCCTTTCTGATTCAATGGTGTCAGCTTGGCTTTAGACTCTACAACCCGAACATCAACTCCTTGCTTTGTGTTCCATCTCAAATACAGAACAGCTCCACATGTTTTGTCTCTTCCATCTGAGAAGGTGATCCCCCATGGCTTTCCTCTCCAGTCAACTGGTGTAAGGCTGTGGTGGAATTTAAGTTTTCCAAGTTCAGAATATTCTAACAGTTTGATGGCTTCTTCTCTGAGGCCTTCTAAATGTGGTTTATCCCATGTCTCTCAAGCCAGCCTTTCACTCTTTGCTTCTGGGAAAGCTTTTCTCACAAGGATTGCACCTTTTTGTTTGGCAGGTGTCACCAATCCAACCGGGTCATAAAGTCCAGTGATTTGGCTTAAAAGCTCCCTTCTTGTTAGTGGGTCAGGTGTTTCAGGTCTCACCTCTTCCTTGAGAAGATTTTTTCCAATCCTAATCTTTTCTTTCTTTTTGAAAAATTGATGGAAATTAATATGTAAAACTTGTCTTCTGCCAATTGATAGCCAACACCCAAGGCTTTGTTGTCCTCGTTTCTCATTTGATTTGGCAGAATGATGGTGTTGTTTTGTCTTATTTTCATTTCTGCAATCTCTTGCCTCCCACTTTGGCTTGACCAGACCCATGGTTTCAGGAAGAAGCCTCCAGCACTGAGAACCTCCTCCACTCCCTTTGTGATCTTGTCCAGTGCCTTCATATTGTTATGAGAGGTCAAAATGTCATCCACATAACTATCCTCTTCAAGTACGTTGCATTTTGGTGTTGACTGGGACTGCTTGGAACCACAACAAAGTAGGTACTAAAAAAGAGCTGGTTCCATGAATCTGGCCTAAAGGCAGTGGCTTGGAAAAGTACGACATGAAGTGGCACCATAGTGGAAAAGGGAGGATGCCTCAAACACATTGTGGAGTGTGTGTGTGTTTCTACTACAGAGTGAGGACCATTTGCGTCATAGTTATGGGCTACAGGCTATAGGCTACAGGTAAGGATTGCAGGCAGAAAAAACCCAGAGCACAGGCAAACTCCAAAATGTAACAAAAAGATTTATAACAAAAAGGGAGTGTCGTGGAAGCAAAACACTCTCAAAGACTCAGGAGGGAGGAAGACAAAACAATGATCCAACAAAGACAGGAGACAAGACTCAGAATATAAAGCAAACAAATTAGAGACAATCGGAAACACCTGGAGAGACACAAGAGGGAACAGGTGAGCATGGGCGGGGCTGGAGGCAAGACAGCAGGGGAACAGAAAACACTAGAAAACAAAAGCAAAAACACAGATCATGACAACTATCAAAGTGAGGTCTTTGATACAAAGCGAGGACCTCTTCAAAGTCTTCACTTTATTTGCAGATTTAACTTTTCAGTATGTGCCTAACACCCTCTGCTGAGGTAGAAACACACCACAGCTGTAAAATCATGCAGGCTTGAACAACAGCCGAGACACAGACAACTATAGAAAAAGATTCTTCTAAACTAATAACAGTTACAATAAATTACAGATAGCAGAGCATTTTTTTCTGTTACTCACCCTTTGTAGCTTGAAAAAAAATGCCTGTAAAACAAATTACTTTCACATTACTACTTTTCATTTGTAAATATAGAGTAACTGCACAATCAGTTCTAGTTTTTCAAGGTTTTAATGCATCATTTTAGCCGATGTGAAAGAATTTATCAGTTTTATCTGTGTTTACTTATGCATGCATTTATGTGCCTTTAACATGCTCCAGGACAGTTGATCATGAATTTCATCAATTTGGAACAAAGAAATATGTTCTAATAACAATCAGAATAACATAATATTTTACGTTAATCACCAGAAACCACATGTAAACGTGTTACATAGGTTGAAGAATAAGTTTACTGAGTTTTACAATGTGTGGTTTAAATGAAAGTCTTTAAAATATAATCTGAAACCAGAAGAGCTTTAAGTACAGTTACATTGTATCTACTCATCCACTACTTAAAGCCTTTAAGCTGCAAAGTCAATTAGGAACTTAAACGCCATGAAAGTATAAAAGTGATGTGATTTGTGTTGTTATGTTACATTATGAGATGATGAGTGTTGCAAAATCAGGGTGTAACTGTGAAAGCTGAGCGTGGATCCAGTTTATTCTACTTTATGTGCTCTTTTCTGATGTGTGACAGCTTTCGCTTCCATTTTTCTGTCTGACCAGTTGGAGACTGACAGGGTGGGCTACGCTGCAACCAACTAAAAGATTACACAAACAAGCTGTAAAAATATAAACTAATTGGAATATACTAGATGTGTTTTTTTAGCCTAGTAAAGCAGTTATGCAAATATTTTACTTGTGTATGATTTTGCAGTTTGGCTCCTCCTCTGCTCAATAATTTCAATGAACAAACCTGCATCTGGTCCATTAAAATATCAGTGAACCTTGGAATACCCACGGAATTATTTTACTGCTGATTTTTCTCTAAACCTATAATATTGTGGTTAATAAATCCCATTTGCCATCATATTTCAGTGTGGAGCCTGCTGATTTTTGCTAAATGAATTTGATTATATGTGATGATCTTGTTATTTAATTTATCAAGTGGTTTTAGTTGTTTGTATTGTGATTTATTACTTTAGCTTTTAAGCTATTTGGGAATGCAGATGTAGACTAATATGTGTAATAGTAGGTTTATGACACAGTGGATTCATGTTCAGTAAATGCATTAACCATTTTGAATAAATAAAGATTAAAATGACAAAAAATATATGGCAAATCTGAAAGGAGAAAAAAGTAAAAAAAATACTGGAAGATCTTATTAAGACAGATGAGGATCTGAATAAATCTTTGGGAAAATTGTATACTTTTTAATTGTCTAAAACCATCAATTTAAATGTTTATTAACATTTTGACACCCATGTTTTCAAGAAAATACTAAGTTGCTCAATATTGATAATACTTATTTTTTTTTACTTCTTGCCACAGCATGAACACGTTGGGTGTGTGTGGGGGGGGGGTATGTTGTTTTCATTTCTCCTGATTTAAATGTAAAGTGCACTTTGTGATTGTGCATTTCAATGCATCCCATTCTTTTATTTAGCAGTCAGCGCTAGCTTTTTTAATATTACATTACAAGTGTTTGGACATGTGTGACTGGTTAAATGTACAGTATTCACCTTGCCAAAATTGAGGATTTGTGTGCAAGTATGTTGAACAAATACTTGGCTCCTCCTCCCTCAGCTCCTGAATATTCTGACCCCTTACTCAGAAAAATCCTAGATCCACCACTGCCTTCAATCATGCCTACACGCTTTTCGGTTCTACCAAGCTGAACAAAGTTAGTTTTATTTAGAAATAAGGTAGCTCTAATAAAAGTCCACTAATGTAAATAGACTTTTCTTGTTTTATTTTGAAAATCCTGACCGGAAACGCCGTGTTTACCTTCCTGAATGCCGCGCATGTGACGCTGGTTCTCTGCGCTGCCACTGTGGATTTACATACCCCTGATTTCCGTGGGACTGGGGAGCGGATGAGGGTGTTGTGCCTTTCAGGAACTGAGGGGAAACAGCCGCAAACAGCGGAACTTTTACAACAACAACAACAAAATGGACAACTAGTCGTGCCGCCGCCGCTTTTCTCGGTCGGGATACCGTTAAACTCTCGGCTCTCCGCGTTTCTCACTTCGGCTCGGTTCGTTTTCTTCTTCTGCTTTCTCGCCTGGAGTCGAGGAGGAGGTTTTTGTCGGTGAGTTGTTGGACCCGGTTCGAAGGGCTGTGGCCATGGCCGGGGGAGGTGGCGGAGGAGTTTCTCCGCTGGGGCCCACGCCGCCGATGTGGTATCACCGGGACCTCAGTCGAGCGGCGGCCGAGGAGCTGCTCGCCCGGGCGGGCAGAGACGGCAGCTTTCTTGTGCGGGACAGCGAGAGTGTCAGCGGAGCGTACGCTTTGTGTGTGCTGTGAGTAAGCCTCGTTGGCCTTTTTTGTTTGCAAATTAAACATGGTCCAAAACGAAAATAAATAAACTAGCACGCATGACGTTCCCAGAGGGTCAAAAGTCACTGCTCAGGCTGTTGTTACTCTGCAAAGCTGGGTTTGTATAAGTTATAAATAAACGACTGCAAACCAATGTGTTTAAACTGAAGTGGGTGAAGGCAGTGTTTACTTTCTCCTTGAAAGGAAATGAGTAGGAGAAAGCTTTTCTGCCCAGTGAAACTCCAGTATGGCACAACTTTCAGGCCTGTCTGTCTGTCTGTCTGTCTGTGGTGCCTGCAGCAATGTTTTTTACAGGCTACTTTGCTGCTGTCGGTCTGTAGGCTCTGAGCACTGAACTGAGAGGTTGTGAAGATGAATGAAACCATGGTTTGAAGCCTTTGCTCTTGAGCTATAATTTAAGGCTCATATAAGATAAGTGTGTCTAAGGAGTTCCATGTGTTTTCACAAACCCTGTCACCGATTGACAACATTGTGTGTAAAGCTGTTCCCGTTTAGTGTGACTTTTAAAAGGCCTGTTTTTCTTTTTAAAGTAGGTGATGAAACCTCCACCCATCTTTAAACGAGGAAGACTTTCTTGCCTCCAGCATCCTTAAAATTCAGCCAACGTCATCACTGAAAGAAAGAGTCGTCCATTATGTTTACCAGCAAGTCCATCACGATGCATAAAGACAAACAACCATTCACAGCTTCAGTCACACCTGCAGTGTTTCCCAAAGTTGGGGTCGGGACCCGAAGTGGGGTCCTGAAACATCAAGGTGGGGTCCTGAAAAGATTTTCTGAATTAATTACATTTTTGCCCTAGTTGTTACAAAGGAGTGAGGTTAGTATACTTAAAATGGATAAATTGTTACTATGCCCATGTTTTGTTGGCCTGATACAAATGTTTATCATCCAAAAATAGCTGGGGGCTCAGGTCTCTGCTACTGTTATTTTGTGGGTCAAAAGCTGAAAGTTTTGGGAACCACTGCACTTTGGTTCCCAAAGTTGGGCTTGGGACCCAATTATGGGTCATGAAGCACCTTGGATAATCTCCAGAAATCAATTTAAAGGGTAATAAAATAATTGCTGATGTAATATTTCCCCTATAATTATTACAAAAACAGAAAATAAGTAAAGATAAGTATTTATATTTGTGTACACGCTGTTTAGATTGTCAAAAGCCTTTGTTTTTAGGATTATTAACAAAGTTTGTGTACTGAGACCAGTAATATTTGGGGTCACAAGTTTTTGCCATGAATATTTTTTGGGTCAGAAGACAAAAAGTTTGGGAACCACTGGTTCAGAGTACCTGTTGAAAGCCCACACATGCACAGAGAGAACACACAAACTCTGCCCAGAACAGTCCCAAGCTGGGATTTGATCCTGCGATCTTCTCGCTGAGAGGCAGTTCTACCAAACGCACTCCTGTGTCACATCAGCAGATAGAGCTGCACAACAAAAAACGTGTCTCAAACGTGATCAGGGAATGAAATGTTAAACTTTAAATCCCCCAAAAACATAAATATCACCTGGCAAATAGATGTCAAAACAGATACATATAGACAACAGGTTATGCAGGAAACAAAAGTCTGTGTGCCTCAAGGGATCTTTCAGTGGTATGACCTACATCCCCTCTGTAATAGTTTACCCCATGCTTTGTAGAGTGTTTATACATGTACACCAGCAGCTGAGCATCATTTTATACATTTGCAGGCACATTTATCACAGTTTTCTATCATACATCAACTTAAAAAATGTGAAACCTTACACAGAAATAACCACCTGGATGAGCGTCTTGAATCTCTGCCTCCATAATCCACGATTGTTCCAGGGGTAGACATAAACATTTTTTAGGTTGTCCGAAACAACCTATTTTCATTTGGGACAACCAGATCCTGTCTCCTGGTTGTCCGGTGGACAACCAAGGAAAAAAGACCTTGATTAAAGTTCTCTGCCGCAGGTGCCCATCATTTGAAAAAATGAAAGGGAGAAAAAACTTGGTAAAGCTGAACAGAACACTAAACTGTAACTTTTAATAAGGTCATTTACACAAGATACTCCTATTTAAGTGAAAATGTTTGACCCATGAGCAGAAAAAAGCTTATGAGCGTTGGGTAACCTCTAGATTTTATTAACAACATTTTTGCTGCTTTACTCCCTGAGCCTTAAATACTCTATTTCAAAGAAGAGAATGAGGAAGTTTTATTCACGCAGATCCTGTCAACCTGGCTGACTGAGAACAATTATATATAAAAACTTTGTCTACAGAACAATATACTTGTTAAATTACATTTTTCTTGAGATTCTTTTGGACAACCAGATTTTGTCAACAGGTTGTACGTTGGACAACCTGAAAAATATCCTTATGTCTACCCCTGTGTTCTTTAGTGCAATGGTTTTCAAACTTTTCAGCATTTGGCCCACATAATAGCAGTGGCAGAGACCTTTGCCCCCCACTAATTTATGTTGATAAATATTGGTATCAGGTCAAATAAACAAAGACATAGTAACAATACTTATTACGCTACTTTTATTCATTCTAAGTACACTAATTTTGTTCTTATGTAACAACTAAGGCAAAAAATATATATATTTGTCATTTTTAAATTTGATTCTGAAAATCTTTTCAAGACCCCACCTTGATGTTTAGGGACCCCACTGTTGGTCCCGACTCCAACTTTGGGAAGCACAGCTTTAGTGTAAACCCCTATGCGTTCTGTTGTTATGTGTAATTATCCCTTTCTGACGAACTGCTTTCTGTTTTTGCCATGCAATTCTTTTTAAAGCAGTAACTTCTTTTAATCTTTTATTGTTTCCTGGATGTATGTAGAAGATTGTTTCGCAAGCAGCAACATTCCTGGCACCAATTTGTTTTTATAATTTAGTCTCTTTCAGTTTTAACTTTACCCACTTTGTTTTATCAATCAAGGTTTGCATGAAAGCGAATTCTACAGCAGAGCGTGTTATATTTAAACTTCAGCAAATTCCAGCATGATTCAGTAAAAAAGACTTGGTGGGTTTAGTAAAACAAACAGAGACTAACTTTAAACTCCCTCCTGCAGACACATGAACTCATTCAAACCAAAAGCAAATTAATGAAAACGGAGCAAAACAAAAACTATGTTGTGGCAGTAAGTTTGAACCCAGATTATGTAAAGCAGTGTGGCTAAATTTGTGTCATTAGCAAAGGAAAAAAAGGCTCCAGAAATGATTATTTTGGGTGCAGAAATGGCTCATTGCTTCACAGCATCCCTGAGACTGAAGCGGAACGATCAGCAGATAAGACGAGGCATTTATCATCATCACTTTATCAGGGCTGATGTGTTAAGTAAAGGTATTTCCTGCGAGGACTATTTGAATTACCAGAGGTGTGAAGCGGCTTCAATCACTGAGTGGTATAGTTTTAGTGAGAAGAACAGTGTGCTATCTTGCACCATCAACTCGGATGTGTAACATGATGCTGAGCAGGATTTCCTTTAATCTCATGTACGACTAAAACTGAAACTATAGCTCAACCAAACTATCAATTTGTTAACTTTGTAGCAATTTGAATAATTCTTTTCAATTTATTTTTGGGGGGACTTAAATATGGAAACACCCTAATTAACTTCCAGTTCTATTTTTAGTCATTATTCCAACACCATGAGTTTCCTAAGTGCAGTTCAAATTATAAACGCTGCCACATTTCCACTGCCTTTTTAAATCAATACTAATTTAATAATGACTATCTTTTAAAATGATTTCTAAGTTGCTTTTACACATTATTAATTCCATCAGAACCAAAAAAAAGAAGCAGCTATTTCTCAGAAAGTGTCGTTAGTGCACTTACATGTTAATCATGTTTCTTCCTAGGTTTTTTTTTTTATATACTGAGTTTCACATTTTTTATGGTACGGCTACACCATGTTAGAAAACTTGAAATGTTAAGTGTTAATGTAAAATAAAGTGATGATATCAGCAGTGATGAACTCACATTTCCCTCACTTTCTCTTGTGTCATCACGATCATTTACTGTAAACCATGTGTGGACATCAGGACCACTAAGAGTCTATTGGATTATTATTGCCTTGCAGAACATGAATACTTGGTAATTGGAATATAATAGCTATAGTCTTTGCAGTCGTTCATATTGACATTGGTATTGCACTAACTGATAAAAGCGATGACAAAAAGGTTTGGATATATCGTGCAGCTCTAATTTGTCATTAAAGTTGAACAAAAGTTGTTTTTGGGTTTTAATTTTTTTTGTCTTTCATAAACTATTTATTTTTATTAGATGTAAATGACAGTTTTATCAATTTATTTTTGTTTCAAGGGATCCCTGATTAGTTGTAACATTAGACTTTATTTAATAAACATATTTTAACTGTAAAATAAAGACTGTAAAAATACTGTAGGATGTTCAGTTTTTATCATTTTTAAACTAAAAGTTTAAAAATATATTACACGGATGGGGCCATTTTATTTACACGCAAAGCATTCTGGGTAAATGATGACGTGGATAGGTCCTCGGTGCGAGGCTGATAGCGAGCTATATCCACCCTGAAGGTTAATCTTGGACAATATCTGATGATCGACTCTTTTAAATGAAACCAGAGAGCGTTGACAGAGAGGAGAAGGTAGAAATGACTCAGCCTGMAACTGAAAATATGGATGGAGGACCTCAGTTTAGCTTGTTTGTCGTGCTAGCGCTGAGCTAATACATATGACAATATAGCGTCGGCGCTAGCGCAAAGACAGGCTAAGCTGAGGTTCTTCTTCCATGAAGCAGCTCTTTTGGCCTCCATTTTTTACAGTCTTTATTTTACAGTTAAAATAAATGTTTATCAAATAAAGTCTAATGTTACAAATAATCAGGGATCCCTTTCAAGCTTCACACTGGTTAAATCGTCTTCAGTCTCAGACTTAGTTTTACCTTTCTGTTGACGTGGACAGAAAATCAGCCGTTGCATCAGTAGGATGTGGTTAATGGGGTTAATGGGTC